AATCTGTTTTATTGAGCCGGGTGCTAGTGGCTCATACCTGTTATCCTAGCTACTCAGGAGGCTGAGATCTGAGAATCTGGTTCAAAGCCAGCCTGAGCAAGGAAAGTCTGTAAGACTCTTATCTCCAATAAACCACTCAGGAAAATAGAGGTATGCTGTGGCTCAAGTGGTAGAATGCTAGCCTTGAGCTAAAGAGCTGAGAGACAGCGCCCAGGCCCAGAGTTCAAGCCCCATGACCCCCCCCCCAAAAAAAAAAATCTGTTTTATTGAGAGAGCTATCAAAACTTGAGCAACTGAAGTTTTATGATCAAGTTGATGAGAGTCTAAGACTCATCTGAAGCAGCCATTCTCCAGGACAAGTCTCTTTCATTCCAGTGCTTTCAATGACTAGCACTTAAACTAGAGCAAGGGTTAATTTCTCAAAGTCTTCATTTCTACATTTCTGGACTAATTATTTTCTAAAGTCTTTCCACAAAAATAGCATTACATGGCTAAGTTTCACATTCTGTGAAGGTCCAAAACTCTATGTATTAATACTCAGTATGCAATGCAGGTATATGTATGACCATCACAAATTGCTGACAGTAATGTACTGCTATAAGACTAATTTTCACCTTATTCATAGCAGGAACTGGAAGAAAGTTAAATGCATCCAGGGGCTAACAAGGAATATTGAAGGTACCTGGTTGGACACCATAGGTGGTAGAATGAGAAAGAGCCACAAGATAGAAATTCTAAGATAGTAATGGAATACTCCTAGTAGCAATCCCAAAAGTAGAAGGCCATCAACAAAACAGTAAAATGAGCACTAACTGTGCATTCTCTGTTTCCCCCTCCAACAGCACCAATGATTTCTTTAAGCCAAAACCTCCTGGGAAACTCTCAATGCCTATTTATCATGTGTGTGCATGTGTGTGTGTGTGTCTGTGTGTGTGTCTGTGTGGGCGTGCGCATACACACTTACTCCTTGTAATTAAAATCCTAGAAGAGGCTAAGAGTCAAAAGATTCACATAAATATAACCACAAATACAAATACCCTAATGGGGGAGGTGAGTTTAACACACAAGATCCTAGGGCTTACGGGAAGTGGAATTAGAACCACAAAAGCCAATAAGACTGTCAGCAATTTAACAAACCTCACATGCACTCAGTTTACTGAATCTGAACCTAAGTAGGGAAGGGGAGAGGAGGGCATGTAGAGCAAATGGACTTGGGTATTTTCACTGAGTCACAGAAAGTCACTGTGATTCTTTCACATCAAAAAGTTCTGTTACAGTATGTGGATATAGCTCAGTGATAGCCTGTCTAGCCTGGGTAAAGTCCTGGGTTATATCCTCGGAACCACAAAAATAAAGTACAAAATTCTGTTGCCATGAAGTTCCTAAGTTTTCCAAAAGGCAAGAAGGTAATAAAACAAGATAAGGAAACATTCAGAAAAGCTCTCATGATTAACTACTCAGAGAAAAGACTTTTAGATCATCTGCCTAGCAAGCTCGAGGCTGTCATTTCAATCACTAGTTCTGACCAAAAAAAAAAAAAAAAAAGTGTACAAGAGAGAGAGAGACATAGAGACAGAGAGAGACAGAGAAAGAAAAGAAAAAGAAGGAAGGAAAGAAAGGCGAAATGGAAGGGTGAAGGGAGGGCAGGCAACAGGAAAGATCTTTATAAGGAGTACTATGAGAAATTTAGCAACAAAGGAGAGGCAAACATGTAGAAAATAAATTTTTATTTATTATTCTAATAGAATAAAGTTTGAGGTTGGAGTTATATTCCTATGCCCCCAACCCCACCTTTGAGGTCCTGGGTTCTTACCAAATCAGATGCACTGGGAAGCCTACTCTCAGGCCACACACAAAAAAATGTAATAAAAGCAAGCACCAATCATTCATTTGACATTTCCACATCTTCTCTAAGAGCAGAAGACACTACTCTTTACCAGAGTACAAAAACAAAAGAGACACTGCAACTTTCCTCAGGAGTTGCCAGTCTGTTAAGAGAGACAGACATTTAAATGGGTGCCTGGTGACACATGGGTACTTCTGAAGAGTTATGAACAGCACGTGGGTTAAAAGAGTGAGAGTCTAACCTTGAGGAGTTAGTAAAAAGGCCACCAGAGAAATGATACTTGAAGGATGTGAGTGATTACATTACTAGGTAATATAACACAGTGAGGCAGTCCAGGTGTAGAATAAAGAAAGTAAGAACAAAGCGTTACAAACTTTTCACAGGTTTGGCTTGACAAATAGGATGAGATGCGGGCTAAGTGTATTAGATAGCATTTGTAGCCCTAACTACATGGGAGGCACAGACAGAAGGAATGCAGTTTAAGGCCAGCCCAGACAAAAAGCTAGTGAGATCCTATCTCCAAAAAACAAGCTGGGTGCATGGCATGCTTCTGTAATCCAAACTAGGCGTTAGGCAGAGGTAGGAGGATATTGATTAGAGGGAAGCCCCAGGTAAAAATGCAAGATCTCACTAAAAAGTAAAAAGGACTATGATAGTAGCTCAAATGGTAGAGCACTTACCTAGCAAAAATGGGATTCTAAGTTCAAAACTCAAGTAACCACCACATAGAGGAGGAGGAATAGGACAAGATGAGAAGGGAGTCACGGTAACTATGAAGAATTCAAAAGTATGATGGCTAATGCCTGTAATCCCAGGTACTTGGGAGGTGAAGAGAGAAAAATAGCAGTCAGAGGCCAATTGGACAAAAAGTATGAGACCCTGTCTGAAAAATAAAGCAAAGAAGTCTAGAGATGTGGATCAAGTGACAGACTGCTTGCCTAGCAAATGCAAGGTCCTGAAAAAACTGCAATACTTCCCCTCCTCCAAAAACTACAAGATTTTTCTTAAAAATCAAGAAGGGGCTGGGAAGCTGGCTCAGTGGTAGAGCGCTTGCCTTGCATGCATGAGACCCTGGGTTTGATTCCTCAGTACCACATAGGCCGAAGAAAAAAAAGCCAGAAGTGGAGCTGTAGCTCAAGTGGTAGTGCGCTAGCCTTGAGCTGAAGAACTGAGGGACAGTGCCCAGGCCCAGAGTTCAGGCTCACGACCGGACCCCCCCCCAAAAAAAAAAAAAAATCAAGAAGAAGCTGGAGAAGTTTATGTAAATAAAACACCAGCATAGAATAGAAAAAACAAAACTATGAAACAACAAGCATAGAACAGCATGGGGGCTGGCCACATAAGCACACCAAGGCTCCCAAGAGAAGGAAGCATAGAACAGACTCTTAAGAAAGAAATGAGAGGGGTTGGGATTTAGTTCAGTGGAAGAACATTTGCCCAGCAAATTCCAGGCCCTGTATGGTCCTCAGCAATGCAAAAAAGGAGAGGGAGGGGAAGGGAGTGGAGAGAAAAGGGAGGGGAGGAGAGTACCGAGGGGAAAGGGACAAGGGAGAGGAAAGGAGAGGAGAGGAGAAGAGGGGAGTGGAGGGGAAGGATGGGAGAGGAGAGGAGGGGAGGGGGAAGGGGAAAGGGGAAAGAGAGGAAAGGAAAAAGGAAAGGAAGGAAGGAATAGTCTGCCTGTAGATAGGAGCATTTTCTAGCTAGGTAGCGGAACTCAGATATTCTCTTAAACACAAACACATGTTCCAAGGTAGTCCATGGAATAGCTGGACTAGATAGTTTACGTAGGGAAATGGAATCCTAGGAAAGTCAGCTGGGGTCAGATCACAGAAGCCTTGAAAGTCCTATCATATATAGATCATTTAAGCATAGGAAGCCATTTAAGGATCTAAAAAGACATGAACATCTTCATATGCATTTTATGATAATACAATCTCTCCTTTTCCTGTGCAATTTTAGGTCCTGATTTATCTATATCTTCTATTTCAGGGTCTTGACAGTTCCTTACTTTAGTGCCGCTTAAGTACAGACTGTTATAATTCATTAATGAGGTCAAGAATTATGTTTAATTATAAAAATAATTAAATAATTTCTATTGAGTATAGCTTAAGGGACATACACTGTGCCAAGTACTTTTCACGCATCTGTGGCCAAGTACTTTTCACGCATCGTCACATTTGATCTCTGTGGTACTCTTAGGAGTAAATACCATCACTGCTGCCACTTGAGAGTTGAGAGACAGGGTTAGAGGAGCTTGTTGAAATCACAAAACTAGTGAGGGGTGCAAATGGGTTTCAAATTAGTGCTGTGAAATTCGAGCCCATGTTCTTTACTTTCCTGCTATCCTGTCTCCTAAAGCAAGCTGTGCCCCTCCTATCCTTACTACTTGCATTACTTCACACCATGCTTTGATCTTCCTTTCTACTGTACTGTGTTTTACTACTAAGGCCTAATGCCTGCTGAAAGTCTATTGACCTTATAGACATCCATGCTGGCAATTACCAAGAAGCTCCTTCCCACATAGAAAGCAAATACCTAGGTACCCCGAGGGCCTCAGTCATAGCTACTGGGCCAGTAAGTAACAGGTTTCCTAATGCTGAAGTAGGAATTCTGTTATCCCTTTTCTTTGCAATCAGAAGGTTGTGTAAAACAGAAGGAAAAAGGAAAAGGATAAGAGGAGGAGGAGGAGGAGGAAGAAAAAGAGGAGGAAGAGGAGGAAGAGTGGGGGAAGGAACCAACTAAAACAAAAAGGAGGAGTCATCGGAAAATGGGAGAAAGTACATACTGGTACCAGCCAGAGCTTCCTGGACCAGTTCCCAGTCTGGCTGCCAAAGGGCTCTGGAATACATTAGTTAGAGCTGGATTCCTGTACAGTCCACTGCAGACTTTTTCTGACTGCACTCTGACAGAGAGACCCACACTTCAGTTCCAATCCTGTTTCCCACCCAGAAAGCTAGTTACTCCTCAAGGGACTTCTAAGTTAACCTCCTATCTCATAGTAGAATCTGCATACCACCTGAGTTCAGAAAGAAAGAAAACACCTTCTATACCTCTCACTTCTGTTGAATCCCTAAGCCTCTCTACCCTCAGAATCCCATTCCAACCTCACAAGACCCTCTTTATAAAACATGTCAAGCTTCTTGTAGCTCCTTACCAAAACAACTGCTGCGATAAGGAACAAAGGTTTTACAGGCTGTAGCAATAGCTAGTTCAGCAGATATTATAGTCTTAATGATGAGGTCTTCCACATGGGCCATCAATGCTGCAATAAAGAAATAAATATTAATAAATACTAAAAATGCATGGATTAATGGGAGATTTCAAGAAACAGTATAATTACAGAAGCATTTATGCTCATTCAAAAGGCCTTTCTATAAGAGCCCTCAGCATGGGTGCATGGGGATGCACACAGGTGGCCTATAACAAAAGGCAGACTTAATGGAGAGGTAGTCTTCCTTTCTTTCTCACTCCTCTCCACTACCCTTTCACCTGTGGACTGAGATACGTTTCTTTTGCACACCATTTCCCATTCTGCAACAAAGGCTGAGCAACAGTGCCCATTCTGATTCTAAGCCTATTCGTCCATTCTCTAACTCAGCATCAGGATCTGAACTCATAGCCAATACAGAGATAGGCTATTTATTATATAAAAATTTGATGGTATTCAGCTAGCAGTTCAACATTAAAGAAGGGACCTCACTAGGTTCTAAATTAGAAAGAAAAAAAACAGAATTTGGGGAGCTATGGAAAGCCTGTTTCCAATCTTGTAAGCTGCAGGAAAAAGTTACACCAAGAACAACCATTCCACTCTACCCCAGCAATATCATCAGAGTTAGATGATGACTCCTGACAAAAGCCAATAGTAAATTTGTACAAAGAAGAGACATTGAGAAGTTCAAAGGCCTGGTACGCACCAGTTGTATCTCTGCCTTCTTGTTTCAGGTATCTAAGCATAGCACTCATGCTCCATTTGTTCCCATAATCTTCCACATCTGGATCATCACAACTGCAATGAATCAATGAACTGAGGTCACATATGCCACTAGGCCTGGATGTTGAAACAAGATTCTGCACAAAGACATCTTAATCCCTCAAACTTTTTAGAAAATATGTATTTCACTGACTTGCACCCAATCACATTTTCTGATTTTTTTTTTTTTGACCAGTCCTGGGGCTTGAACTCAGGGCCTGGGCACTGTCCCTGAGCCTCTTTTGCTCAAGGCTAGTACTCTACCACTTGAGCCACAGAGCCACTTCCAGCCTTTTCTGTTTATGTAGTAATAAGAATTGAACCCAAGGCTTTATGCATGCAAGGCAAGTACTATACCACTAAGCCACATTCCCAGCCCCCAATCACATTTTCTTGGTCCTTTCTGTTTTCATGCTTTTGTGCCATCCAAACCCCCGTCAGTCCTGGGGCTTAAACTCAGAGCCTAGGCACTGTCCCTGAGCTCTTTCGCTTAAGGCTAGTAGTGCTCTACCACTTTTAGCCACAACACCACTTCCAGTTTTGAGGGAGTTAATTGGAGATAAGAGTCTGGCTCCAAGCTCCAAATTTCTTAAATGAGGACTAACAGGTAGATAGTTTGCCTTACTGAAAAGGACAGAGAAGAAGAAAGATAATTCTTCCTTAACCAAACAATCATGCATCATGAAAGAGTAGAAGTATGTGAAAGAATGTACACAAAGTAAGAACGTTACAATAATTTACCAGCAATGTGGATAATACATACAATCTTGGAGATGAATGATGAGTCCACTAAACTACCTCAGATTCATTTTCAGACCAGAATTGAATTGAGACACATTAATAAGATAATCTAGTACAGTAATGTTAATGAACCAATCCCACACAGACTTGCTTTGGCATGTGAAGCAAACTTGGTCCTCTCTAATGATGGAGCTTTTTCTGTATTCTCTGAGACACCACTCAAATAACAATGAGAGTACTAAGCCCCCCCACTGCTATAGTAACATAGTAGCAAGTGGGGCTGCCAGAAATGCTAGAGTCCTGAACTCTGGCATTTGTGCCCTGCCACTGCCTTCTTAGTCCTTACCACCATCCCACCCTATCCACCAACTACACTGATGCTCATCTTCCAAGGTAAAGGATATGACAGGACATTTAGTGAAATCTAGACCATGTCAGCAACTATCCTATCATTTCCAGAGTATTTTCTTCCTTTCCTTGGACCTGCTAGGAATCTATTTTTAGTCTAAGTAGAAAGTAGCTTGGGTTTCTTTTCTATTTTTCCACTTTCTTGTAAAATTATTGCAATGAAGAAAATAGGGCAAAAAGAATATTTCCACACAGCTGGGAAGGTACTCTCTTTCACTGGATTTCTGAGATGGCCTCATTTCTTTTTTTCTTTTTTTCCAAACTTGATCATATTAAGTATTTGTTTTAGAAAATACATAAAATAGAAGAAACAAAAATGTCTCCCATTAACAATCACATCTCTATAGTAAAGCACAGTTAGCATTTCAGTAAGTATTCTTTTTCTTTCTCTGTCAGCAAAAAATAACTACCTTAAGATATCTGATATACTCAAGCAAGAAATTCAGTTACACATGTTGTCATATAATATATTTTATCATCTAACGATATACAGTTTAAATAAAAAGTCTTAATTCTGCCAGGCACCGGTAGCTCACACCTGTAATCCTAGCTACTCAGGAGGCTGAGATCTGAGGATCACATTTCAAAGCCAGCCCCGGGAAGGAAAGTCCATGAAACTCTTATCTCCAATTAACCACCAGAAAACTAGAAGTGGTACTGTGGCAAGTGCTCGCTTTGAGCACAAAGAGGCTCAGGGACAGCGCCCAAGCCCAGAGTTCAAACCCCACAACCAACCACACCAAAAAAGTCTTAATTTTGTCTTTATTAAAAATCAGTAGCCTTTCTGCATGCCAACAACCTCATTTGCAATAGCCTCAAAAAACAAACAAACAAAAAACAAAAAATACCGCCACAAACCTAGGCATTAAAGATGCTAAAGATCTTTATAATGAAAACTATAAAAATAAATAAATAAATAAAATTTTAAGTCTTATCTCAGGGCTGAGAATGTGGCCTAGTGGTAAAGTATTTGCCTAGCATGAATGAAGTTCTAGGTTCAATTCCTCAGTACCACATAAAACATAAAAAGCCCAAAGTGGCTCTGTGGCTCAAGTGATAAGAGTGCTAGCCTTAAGCAAAAGAAGCTCAGGAACAGTGCCCAGGCCCTGAGTTCATTGAAGCCCTAGGACTGGCAAAAAAGTCATCGCTGATCTTGTGTATCTATCCTTCATTTCTTAAGGTTAAGTTCCTAGAAATGGAACTACTATGTCAAAAGGTACAGCTATCTTCAAAGCTTCTGATATATGTTCCAAGTACTGAAACAATCTCATATCTTGACTTTTAAAATGTTCTGTATGTTGCTGGGTATTGGTGGCCCCTCACCTGTAATCCTAGCTACTCAGGAGGCTGAAACCTGAGATTATTGGTTCAAAGCTAGCCCAGGCAAGAAAGTCTGTGAGACTCTTATCTCCAATTAACCACCAAAAAGCTGAAAGTAGAGGTGTGGGTTAAGTGACAGAGCACTAGCCTTAAGCAAAAAAGTTCAAGGACAGTGCCAGGGCCCTAAGTTCAAGCCCCAGGACCAATAAACACACACACACACACACACACACACACACACACACACACACACACACACACACACACACACACACACACACACACACACACACACATGCTCCATGTATCTATTACACTGTCACTCATAACTCAAGTGAGAGACATTATGTTCCAGAGTCCTGTTAACTTTCCAACTCTCCAACACCTATATTTGAGTATTACTCCCAACTAGTACCTCACATAGTCTCCACTCTTCTTATTCACACTGTAGTTTGTAAGGTGCATGAACTGATTCCGAATGTTCTTTGCTCCTTGGTCATATCGTACAGTGGCAAACCTATAGGAAGGCAGAGGTTAAATGCCAAGAACAAGGTTTAAAAAAACACAGGCTGGAACTGACGATCAGTAAGATAACAACAAAGGAAGCCAACATCATTATCTAAATAATACTTATATTATTTATAATATATAATTTTTATATTATATATTATTATACTCAGTGCCAAAGTGCCAACTTCCATGCTAAGGGTTATATGTATAGTAGTTCTAAGTGTTTTATTGCAGCACATATTAATTCAATCCTTCAAATAACTTGATGAAATAGATCTTACTATATCTAATTTTTAAAATAAATGATATCTAAGTATGACCTAGAAATATTAAGTAACTTGCCCAAGATCACATGGACTCTAAAACCCAAGGTGTTAACTACAATGAGATACTGCTTCCCTTATACTGAATCTTAAAGTGATAGAAAGCATAAAACTTGGTAATGAAATTATTCACAACCTAGGGAACTATGTGTATAAGCATTAGCTCATCAAAGAATATCTATTCAGAGTCCATAAAGTAACTGTACTGTGACATTCTATGGGGAAAATGAACAAAAAAAAACAAAGGTAAGCTTATCAATTTGTACACTTGAAACTCACAGCTACAGAAAGAATAGAACTGATACATAATATTCAATTAAAAAGAACAACAATGGCAGGCAATACAAAACAGCATAAATACTAGCATAACATAAGAGACAAACTTCTGAACTTGGAATTAAGGCAAAAAATGGATTAAACATGGAGCCCACTGAAAACAGAGCAGCAATCTGACATCCTGGACTACTACTGTCAAAGAAAACCAAAGTATAAAAGATATGTGCCTGTCAAGGAAGTAAATAGGAAAAGAGAAAACTTTCCAGTGATGTTCAGTATGAACAAGAAGACACTCAAGGCAAATGACTATGGTAAATATCAACCCCTGTTTACATACCACTAGAACCGTATCACCCTTCCCTACAGTGGTTTTCCCCAAGAGGCATATCCAAGTGTGTGAGAAAAAAAAACCTGAAGGCCAGAAGTTTATTTTCACATGATTTACCAATTATTTACATATGCTTAACCCAGACTATGAAGTCAACATGAATTTTTACCACATTAAAAGTCAGCATTTAACATTTTTCCTATTCTCTATTTTTTCTCACCCACTCACTATCTCTGCTCTCTAATTTCCTGTACCAGAAACACACAAGCACAGAGAAATAAAAGTTAAAAACAAAACTAAGAAACTAAACAAACATGAGTCCAGGAAAAAAGTATGTGGTCAAAGAGAAATTCTGACCAGGCATAAATGGCTAAAGAACAAGAGTTTGATAAGCATTACATAATGGATTTTCCATAAACTTCCAAGAGCTATCATATAAGTTAGCCTTTACATTCCAATCTTCTTCTTACAGTGATTCTCCAAGTAGGTAGAGAAATGCAAATGGGGCCCAGGCTGACCCCAGAGGCTGCCTGCCACAACCAGACGTTACCTCACAGTAATATACCTCCTACCATCCTCTTCTTTCAAATAATGAGTTTGAAGGAGGGGAAAATGCTGCTTCAAGAAAGAGGCTCACTGAGTATCTGATCTAACCTGATTAACAGAAAGCAAGGCAAAAGCCCAGAATGACCTGGATCTGGTATTCAATACATCTGTCATTTGCATGGGCCTTTTTTAAAAGACAGGCATTCCTCTACCAAATCATTTCTCTTCCTCCTCATCTTCTTCCAGTGGAGCATTTTATTCTGAGCCCAGGATTTATTAAGTCAGAGTGGGCTTCTACTGTGTAGAAGCAGTAAGAATGTTAATGGAAAAGTGCCAAAAGGGGCAAATACACAGCACTCTGTATTCAATTTGGTCAAATGGACAATGTAGGAGGCCATAGAGAAGAAAGTTAAGGGTGTGTGTGCACCTGTCCTCTCAACTCAGTTAGCTTTTAAGAGTTTTCATTAAAATTATTATTAAACAGACCATAATCATCTCTGATCACTACTTTCTCTTATCTGGATGATACTACTTTTACTACTCTCAGATCTGGCTTACTTGGTTGTCAAGTTCTTATGACCTGATTAACCTACAAAAGTTTAAGGATTTTGTTATTTTTCCTTTAACGTGAGTCACTTGATCAATGCTTCTCTTTCAGCTCGGTGGCAGCTGGGCCTCTGTGTGTGTGTGTGGGGGGGGGGGGGGGGGGCCGAAGTGGTAGGGATTCCTAAAGCAGGAAGTACAGGAGGTTACCTAAGCAGGGCAATAGCTCTGAGTCTAAACCTACACAAGAAGAACATCTGAGTGGGAAAAGTGGCCTAACAAGGCCAAGAGATTGGCTACATACAAGAGAATTGAGTAAATAATATGTAGGAGATAATGGGAGACAGACATCTCACTGTTGAAGCAAAGAGATAAATATGGAAAGGAGAAAAACTAGAATGCACTCAGTTATTTTGAACTAGAATTGGAAGTACCAAGAAAAATTTTCAATGCATAAAGATACAAAAATAAAGATGTAAATGTGCTTATGTGTACATGTAAATATATACACATTTCCAAGTGTGTGCTTTGCAAAGCTTCTTAACAATGAACACATCTGGCAGCAAAAACTTGATTTCTAAATACTGTTCCCCTGGTCAAAGTAACTAGTGCTCCTTGGAGATACAATTGATTCCAATGACAGATAGGTCAGAGAAAGAACAAGATGGGCCTGAAACATTTTGTGCCCAGAGAATAAGAGTCATGTGTCATGTCAAAGAGGCACAAAAGACATCTAAAAAGGGTTTCCACTGTCCACATCTGAAGAAAATGGAGCACCAAAATAAATGATAGCAAAAGAACTATTAAATAAACTAGAAATCTTTGAAATATTGACAGAAACAATTGAATAAATGAGGGGAAAAGAAAGCTTTTCCTTGAAGTAAAATGTCAACTAATAATAGTAAAAGGAATGATGGGATTCGTAAAATCATCATTTGGCAATTCTCACTGCACTAACTGATTCAGGCAAAAATAATATCAATAGTTACTAAAAACTGTTGAGTGAAATGAGATTAAAAAATGAGACTTTACGTGGTTTCAAAGTCTCTCCTCATAAAACAGTAATTACAAAGAGAAAGACAAAATTGTTAGCTTTATAGTTGGGAAATCTCACAGATACCAATTTAATAAAGTGGTCAAACATCACTAAACATTACAAGTGCCATCAGATTTAAGTCAATGAGAGGAACTATCATTACCGTTGTGATATGTGGTCCAAAATGAATAATCTAACCTTAATCATGAGAAAAATCCAGACAAACATAAACTGTGGGACAATCTGCAACATAGGTGGCCTGTAATCTTCAAAAATTCTGAGGTCATGAAGTCACAGACTCAGGAACTGCTCCAGACTGAAGGAGTTTAGAGACTTAACAACTAAACATAACATTAATCCTTGATTTGTTCCTTTTGTTAGAATGAACATTAGGACAACTGCAGAGTTTAAATAGGTTCTCTATATGGAATCTTCATACTATTCTTACAGTTTTTCTTCAAGTTCAAAATGGTCTCAACATTAAAAATCTAAAAAAAAAAAATCAGAAAATAACTTCACAATAATAATTTAGATATTCAACTTCTCTTAATACCAGAAGATCTGGCATTGCATGTCAAGTACCTTTAGGTGGGATAGGTGCTTTCCCATTCTTCTGTCTCCACCTGGCCAACTTCCTTCAGGAAATGTATTGTGAACAGTTAGGTTTGGGAACTTTAAATTAGATCTTCACATATTATCACATTTTATTCTATTTAGGTCTGAAAACGTCAACACAATTTTTTATTATCAACAAACTAAAAGAGATAAATTCACTAGGTAGTCCAGGACCAAGTTGGCAAATACTTGTCCCAACACAACTAAAATTTACATGATGAACTGAGTATTCAATCTCTTTGAGATCAAAATTTAAATCAAAAAAGCAACACAACAGAATTTCAGTCTTGGCCTTTAAACAAATGGGGAAGAATGTATATTGCATAAATCTAAGCGCTAGATACAATTTTGCAACCTGATGACAAATATGGATTGCAATTTTTATGACAAAAAATTATCCTACCTTTCCATCCAGTTCTTGGGATTACAATCCAGGACCTCAGGAATACTAGGCAAGTGTTCATTACTGAGTCATACTCCAGCCCTAACAAATTCTTTAACCAAAAGTTACACTCTTTGCTTTCTAATATTTCTCACTTAGAATCAAGACAACAGTAATAATCTGTCTAAAATTCAAGTGTGTATAACAAAAGGATTTCAATGTCAGGCACATACATACAGGTAATCCTTGACTTAGGACTCTTTGACTTACAATTCTTCTACTTTATGATGTACAAAAGTGATGCACATGGATAGGGATGGGTGAGATGGGGGAGAATGATCAAGCTGCTTTGTATTCATAAACTCACATGTTGAATTGAAAGCTCTTTTATAATAGCTTTTAATTTTTAATAAAAATTATAATTTTTGAAAATTGATGCACATTCAGGAGAAACCATACTTTGATCTAGGGTAGTGACAAGTACTATGATACTCCCTCACAATGCTAAGCAAAAAAATAAGCCATAGCTCCCAGTCACATACCCAATCAATAAGATAACTACCCACACTCAACAGAAATATGTTAATAAGCCAGGGTATTGAGTGGGTTAGGCATGTTAAGTGGTGTTTCCAACTTATGATGGGTTTTATCAGAACACGTCTTCATCGTAGTCGAGAAGTATTTATAATAGGTACTGATAAATGAAAGGGCCCCTGAAGACCAAGGGTATGGGTCAAGGGGTAGATGGTCTGCCTAGCAAGAAGGAAGGAAGAGTCATCTGAATTGCTTGTTGCATAATCTTTACCTATGCAGAACCAAAAGGGGGACTGTCAAGCTCAGAATTAGTAGGGCCCCGCCGGTGCTGGTGGCTCACGCCTGTAATACTAGCTACTCAAGAGGCTGAGATCTGAGGATCTCGGTTCAAAGCCAGCCCGGACAAGAAAGTCCATGAAATTCTTATCTCCCAATAAACCACCAGAAAACAGGAAGTGGTACTGTAGCTCAAGTGGTAGAGCACTAGCCTTGAGCTGAAGAGCTGAGGGACAGCGCTCAGGTCCAGAGTTCAAGCTCCATGACCGACAAAAAAAAAAAAAAAAAAAAATTAGTGGAACCCTGGAAACTCTTTCCCTACTCAAAACCTATTTTGTTCCTCTAAGAACCTGACACCATTAGTCTTATGTATGGTCAGACTCCCAGGAAGGCTAGATGTAGAGATAGTGATGCATTCTCTTCAGTAGTTCTATTTTCTTATACTTGGTACAAATGTACAGAGAGAAGAGGAAGGCCGCCTGTGAAGACCCTACTTGTGGCACTTGAGTTATCTTGCAACAGGTGTAGTCACTCTAAGCCAGAGAGGCTTGGGTGATAAGACTGCACCTCAGGGAACCTTGCCAGGAGCAACTGAGTTCATCCTAGCCTGACCCAGAAAAATTGTATGGAGGAGAACAAGAGGCCCATGAGCCTCTGATCTGCTGTCAACCAGCTGCAGCAGTGAGGCTGCCAAATAGCTGCAGTGACTGGGCAGTGCTCTGCTGAGCCGTCTGGGAGGGGATTACCAGCCTGATCCTGGTCTTCAGAGCCAGAAATGACTCAAACTTCACAAACAGCAAGGGCCTGCCAAAGAGAGTGACAATGAGCACTGGAAAGGGTTTCTCCCCCTTGCTGATGTCTCTTCTCCCCACTTGCTGCTGTGGCAGATTCTGGACAGTGTGCAGCCCGTGAGGTAATCTGAATTCCTTGGCAACCAGCAAGTACCTGAATTCTTTCAAAACCACAGGAATCCAGCAGAGAAAAGGTAAATATCCCTGCGGAGCCAGTGTTAATTAGCAAGAAAGGCTACTGAAGAAGGAACTGGGGGTTGGGAGGAAGGAAAGGCATTACAAATGCTTTGGGGTCTTTTCTGCATTTCCACTGAAAAATATGGCTGAGGCAGAAAAGAGGCAGGGCTGATGGGGCCTGTACAAGGTCCTCTCCTTCCACTCCATCGTGGGTACAACATGCAATGTTCATATTTCTCCTGTGAGGACTTTTATGGCCCAAGGTGCTAGTGCTACTTATCTTTAGGGCTCTGACAACACATATGGTTTTCAACTTAACTTTGTTTTCATTTTTTAACTTTTTATTTTTCCTATTTCAGTGCAAATTTGGCTATTAGCTTTGACTCAAAAACGACGTTGTCAAATTATTTAAACCCCATATTGGATCCACATAAAGCTGTAAAATCCAGGACCAGGTCTTTCTGAACTCCACTTCTGACAGGAAAAAGACTCCACCATTTTGGTGAACACACTACCCTCTCTGAAAACCTAGTGTCCCCTGCTGGTGCAAAATAGCAATATGCACAGGGATTCAAAAGCAGGGTGAACCCCTGATTAACCATCTCTAGGACCATAAGACACCAAATCCAAATACCAAAAAGGCAGCTTCACTTTTAACACCTCTTTGATATGTAACTCACATATAAAAAATATGAGATGGGCTCAGTGACACACAATTGTAATTCTACCTTTGCAGGAGAAATAGATGGGAAGATTATTTTCTTGAGGCTAGCCCAGACAAAAAGTTCAAAACTCTATAAAATAGGGGCTGGGAAGGTGGCTCAGTGGTAGAGCACTCTTGCATGCATGAGGCCCTGGGTTCGATTCCTCAGCACCACATAAGCAAAAAGAAAAAAAAAGCCGGAAGTGGCGCTGTGGCTCAAGTGGTAGAGTGCTAGCCTTGAGCTGAAGAGCTAAGGGACAACGCCCAGGCCCAGAGTTCAGGCCCCACGAACGGACCCCCCCCAAAAAAAACTCTATAAAATAACCTAAAGCAAAAAGGATAGTGGTATGGCTCAAGTGGCAAAGCACATGCCACAAGTTCAAGGCCCTGAGTTCAAACCCTACTATACCTATACTTATCTCCCCTACCCCCACAAAAAAAAAAGGTGAGGGATCTCCTACTTTCTATGTGAATAAAATAGGGACTTTGTAAATTTATAAAGATTTAAATTCTTAATCTACACAGAAAATACAATCTTTAGTATCAAAAGTAAATAATTTTTACAAAATAATCTATTTCACATAACACCCTTGTAAAATGAATCTTCTGTCACCTAGCATTAATTTGAAGCCTCTAAAAGAAACAATACCATTTAAGAACCTTCCTAATTGTTTTTGTTTCCAATTCTGTCTCTTTAAGAAAGATCTGGTTTTGTCTCAAAGTAAAAATACATAGTGATCTGGTCCTGAACCCATTTTCAGTTACATCTATACAAAGCACATGTGACCCGAGATTACAGAAGCTAAGATCTGCAAGAGCTATAGAATATCATTGAATGTAATGACAAGTTGAGCACACTCAAGAGGACTGAAACAAAGCAGGTGAGTGCCAAGATACACAGTGAGTAATGACATGGGAACTCAGGCACATTGAAATTACTACACAGAACACTGTACCTTTCAGGACTGTAGCAAATAGCCTATTTTACTGTGGTGCACTCTCCTTTGAGAAAAACTTTATAGAGTCACCTATATTTCATGTAAACCTAACCAAGGCCCTGAAATTTTATGTTCTTTTGGTTCACTATGATCTAAAAGTTCTTTTCCTAATTATTCTGGAAAAAAAGCATCCTTTCATTACATATGTATACACATACACACACACACACACAAATTCCTACTAGAAACGAGTTGCTCAATTCAGTAGGCTGGGCCATACAACATATAAGTAATAAAGCATTTGTACATACGTAATAAATTCTATAATAAATGTTAGTACTGCTCCCATTTTGTGTTCTGAACCATAAAGGCCTTAAAATTATGCCAAATTTAACCACCAGGGGTGAGGCTATTGCTTGAAAAACAGTGTTCATAAGTAAGCTTGCTGTCTCTTTTCTATTCCAGCAGTTTGATTTGTGGCAGGATACAATTAGCTCCCTACCAGGTCAGAGGACACAAACTGCGAAGAGGATGGGTGAAAAGAAGAATGAAGAAGCTCATGATACAGGAGTAGGAAAGTCTGAAATTACAAAACTATAATCCCCAGCATCGCACATATCTGAGAAGAAATTAGGGATATATTTTACCTTCTTTATGTTCTTCTAGATAATGTAGGAAGTTGGCTTTTATAATTCGTCTTATTAGTACTTCCAAGTATGAGAGCACATGTGTCTATAAACACTACTGTAAACCTGTTTCCTATTAAGAGCTGATTAGAGTTAATAGTTCATGCTTGTATGCCCTGGTCTAGGCCTTTTCGTAACAACTGAGAACCATCTTAAGTGTTCCCTTCTCAATTTTCAAGAGATAAGAGTCTAGAACTATGGAGTTTCCTTAGTCTCTGGCATTTCCAGGGCTCAAACTCAAATCTTGGTTAAGAATATGTCAGAACTTAGAAATGCTGTCATTGCCACCTAGAGGTGAAGGGAAGACATGGCTCAACCAGCTACAAGCATTGCTTAGTCTCCTCTGGCTTTGATCCTAGTCATAAACAACAAATGAGATTGTATATATTCGGTTAAAAATAAAGAAGAAAAGAAAACACAATAGCTGTCAGCATACAATAATGCGTCAAAACTCATATTCACAAGTAGAGACTGCTAACATTATGTGAGGACAGAAAGTATTTTATTAATCACCTGTACATAAATAGCTAGTCCTCTTGTACCTACGTACCTCCATCCTCAAGGTGTATTTTCTAAAATACAGCAACATGGGGCTGGGAATGTGGCTTAATGGTAGAGTGCTTACCTAGCATGCATTTAGTTCTGGGTTCAATTTCTCAGTACCACATAAACAGAAAAAGCCAGAAACAGCACTGTGGCTCAAGTGGTAGAGCACTAGTCTTGAGCATAGAGACTCAGGGACAGATCCCAGGCTCTGAGTTCAAACTCCAGGACTGGCAACAATTAAAAAAATAAAAATAAAATACAGCAACAAGCAGAATCATGGTATTCTACTATGTCTTGACTGCTCATTTCCTTGACTGCTAGGGTCTTACCACATCAAGACTATGACACGTAAGAGAACACCAAGGCTAACTAAAAATAAAAATTTGTCAGAAAAAAGAACATAACATAGCCAGTTATGTACACATGAATAGACTTAATGAAAACAGTCACCATAAAATTATCTGGATACAGGAAACAAATCTCCAAATTTTAATCAACTAAACTTTTTTATATGTCACACTACTTTGAGATATACAAAGTAACCTAATGAAAAACAGAGTAACATACACACAAACTCTGCAAAGCATATAACTAGCACATTAAAGTGAGAAAAGTAGCTATTCCTCTCCTAACAGTGAGAGACCATGACAGTGCAGTCATCAAGTTCTAATCCCAGGTCTACTCCACACAGCTATGTGAGCTAAGTCACTTCAAGTCCTTTCATGTCTCTTTTACTACAGAAATGTATCATCTATAAGGTTATTTTTGAGGCATAAAATAAATGTCTGGCATATGACAAATGAATAAATGTGAGATGATAGAGATCTAAAAACAATGTTAAGTTTTCTTAGTGCTCTGAGGTCTTCATAACAATTTTCACTGCTTGAAAATAACCTATGACCTAGATTACTAGTAAAGTGTGTGTTTACACACATTTTGTGTAGATGCAGGTGAGATTGTAGAGACTGTAGAGTACCAGACTGCTTTCTGTCATTTGAAGCCCACCTAAGCATACTCTCATTTTCCTGAGTTCAACAAGGCAGAAAGAACAGCCTGATGTTAGAAACCACTTTAATGGGTGCACTCTAATATGCCCACCCAAACCCTCCACCAAAAATCAAAGTCTCTTACCTAGCCAATCCTTCTTCATAGAGATAGATGACAAGAGGATCATAGGAAGTCACGAGCACATAGAGGCGCACGTCAAACTTGAAGTCTAGAAAAAAAGTTTGCATTCACAGGAAAAACTATGTTTGTGTCTGTTTTCTGTCAGAGAATGAAATGGACAATGTAACCAAAAACATTGAAAGAATGAACATTCCTCTTCATATGAAGTATACTCTACCCATACACCTTGCCTTTGAGAATAAAGAAGTATACTATATAATTTTGTTATATATATAGTACATCATACTACAATATATAATTTCTGTATCTATATTATATAGTTGTGTGTGTGTGAGTAAGAGTGAGATTAGGGAGCCTATAAAGCATTTTTTCTTATTTTATCACTTTTAGTCTTCAAAATATTCCTTAGTGGTAAGTAAGGAAACAGTTTCTGGAGCCACAGTTGTCAAGAATTTCATGCTAGCTTTAAAAAGATTTACAGAAATTATGGAAAAGTTAAAAGTTTAGCAAGATCTAGCCCGATCTAGTCAAGAGTGGAATCACAACTCACCATCTATGAGCAGGGGGTTGTTAATATAACGGGAGACCAGGATATTCTCTTCCAGGGAAATCTGGTTTGGCTATTGAGTAAACAGAATGAAAAGGAAAAAAAATGCAAAGGAATTCTAATTTACATAAGGGAGCAAAGTTCTTAACTTTTTAAGAAATAATGTGGAAACCAAAACTTTAGGAATAGTTTTCCTCTATGGAACCCAAAATAATCAATTGACCTGGTAATCTAACCTCTTCTATAAACACTGAGAGTATTCAATTACAATGGGAGGAAATAAACGTATATAGCACCTTTCAAATAACAAATACAGCCTAACTCTTATAGATGTAAGTCTACATATATATGTATGTATACTTTAAGTTGCTTGTTAAGAAAATAAGAGCAACTTACAAAATGAAAACATTTTTCTTCAAAAATATACAGGGCTGGGAAGGTGGCTCAGTGGTAGAGCACTTGCCTTGCATGCATGAGGCCCTGGGTTCGATTCCTCAGCAGCACATAAGCAGGGGAAAAAAAAGCCGGAAGTGGCGCTGTAGCTCAAGTGGTAGAACGCTAGCCTTGAGCTGAAGAGTTGAGGGACAGCGCCCAGGCCAAGTTCAGGCCCCACGACCAGACCCAAAAAAAAATTTTTTTTTAAATGTAAAGAACAATGTAAGTTTAAAAGTACTACCACTATTCTTAAATGCAGGTTCTCCTTACATTGTTTGGAGAGAATGTAGAGATCTACCAAGAATCCTAGAGTTTCCTCTGGGTATTTGCTTAATTTACTTAAAGGCATTTGCTAAGCAACTGTCTGAAAGGGAAAAAAAGTTGTTTATACAATAAATAGTGAATGATGATGGTCACTCTATAAGGAAGGCACTGGGGACACAATGATAAGAAAAACAGACCCAATCTCTACCTGCACAGAGATTAGCTTTAGTGGTTCCTATCCCCAAGGAGTTTAATACAATATAAAGAACACAAAGCAGCAATTCTGCAAATATAAGATGTTAAGTTGCAAAGTGGGTTAGTCAGGAAGGCTTACTCAGGGAAAGCTTGGCCTGAAATGTAGGTGCAGAAATGCTTGTCAAAAGCTATCAGGTAGATACATGGTGAGAAAGCCAGGAGGTCATTTTGGATGAAGAAGCAGATTCTCATGCCTGGGGCTAAAAGACTGAACTGGCAAATAATGGACAGAATGATTATACAAATCGCACAGAAAGACTCCACTGATGAAAGGAGATGAATCCCCAGGAAGGGGAGTTTAGATTTAACAAAATGGAAAGCATCAATTTATTGTAGATTATAGATTAAGGAAACAGTGAGATTAAGACTTCTGAAACAGAACTGGAGGCATAGTTTATTAATAGAGTGACAGCCTAACAAGAGTAAGACTTTAAGTTCAAATGCTAGGCAGAAGGAAAAGGAAAGGAAGCTTCTAAAACATAACAAAGCCATATGTGATTATACTAGCACAGAGAAATCAGCTGCAAATCAATGTTTTCAGAGCAAAGGGGATTCAAAACAGAAATGGCAACTATAAAAATTATGATGTTAACTATGACAGCAGTTCAAAAGTAACAATATTTGCAGAACCAATTAAAATTCTATAAATTTACTATCTTCCAAAGCTATTGTAAGTCTGTCACAAGTATTATTTCATGTAATCCTCACAAAACCCAGGAGGCAGGTAATTACCATCAGATTTTACAGATGAGAAAAGAATAAGATATGTTAGAGAGCTACTAAAAATCATACAGCTAATAATCAATAAAGCAATGGAACACAGGAAATCTCTCAGAGGCATCACTTTTTTTTTTTTTTTTTTGCCAGTTCTGGGGCTTAAACGCTGGGCCTGGGCACTGCTCCTGGGCTCCTTTTTGGCTCAAGGCTAGCAGGCTAGCACTCTCCCACTTGGGCCATAGCACTGCTTCCAGCTTTTTCTGCAATTAACTGGATATTAGACTAACAGATGTACATGCCCAAGATGGCTTCGAACTGCAATCCTCAAATCTCAGCCTCCTGAGTAGCTAGCATTACAGGGGTGAGCCACCAGCACCCAGCTCAGATGCTATACTTTTAACCACTATTCATAGTTCTCAATATTCTGACCCAAAGTATGTGTCTCCAAATTTCTAGTTTTTCTTTGTAATAAAGCATTTCCTATCCGAAATACTACATAATTTTATGATCCATGGCATATTCACAACCACAATGATCAAGTCTGCAATTAGGATAATGAGATTCCCCTCATTTCCCACTGTTGTTATCTCAAAGTCAGACCACAGCTTTTACAAGCCTTCTCCATGTATTATATGAACACAATGACATCAGTACTGATTCATCTCTAATGGAATCAGCCATCCATACCATTTCCTGATGCCCTTAGATTTCTTGATCAGATTCTCGCAAGTAGTATCTTACATCCTAAGAACTGATGTAATCACTTTCAAAGCAGTAAAGCTACAGGCTGTAATCCAACACTGAAATTAATCACAGTTGTGTTCCAATTGAGCAACAACTATTGGCTAAAACAGATATATGACCATTCAACTGTCCTCTGTACCAGAGAATATACTGGGAGTGGTTTCCACTCTGTAACGTCTGCTGCCCATGTCCATTTCCTCTCTCCCTTCCTCATCACATACACAATCATCCACTGAATTGTGCAGAACATAAACCAGAGTATTACTTGGCAACTTTAACATTTGTTTTAATGTCTTTACCTCTCATTTCTATCTGCATTAGGAATTAAACTGTAAGATTAAAAACAGGTGGGTATGGTTTCTTTACTTAGTGTTGTACATTGAAGAGCCACTACTAATAAAAGCTTGTTTATATATTTTAGCCTATTTCATCAATCCCTAATGAACTGATTCTAAGTTATTTCAATTTTGAAATTTCCTTCCAAAGAAAGCTAAAAGCCAGATGCTGGTGGCTCACACCTATAATCCTAGCTACTCAGGAGGCTGAGATCTGAGGATCATGGCTCAAAGCCAGCCTGAGATGGCAAATCTGTGAGACTCTTATCTCTAATTAACTACCAGAAAATCAAAAGTGATGTTGTGGCTCAAAGTGGTAGAGTGCTAGCCTTGAGCAAAAGAGCTCAGGGACAGTGCCTGGGCCTCAAGTTCAAGTCCCATGACCACCAAAAAAAGGCTAAAGTGGGAAGCAGAGTTGTCATGGAAGATGTAAACATCTCCTTTCCTAAATTAAATCTGGTTAAGTTACTGTAGAGTAGAAGAATGCAATGGTATCTATGCAGTTCTAATTACTAAATTCACTTCAACATGCTACACTACATGCCATTCTACTTAGAGTAGAGCAGTGAGTTATAACAACAATATATAAGAATTAGGAAAACAAAAAAATTAGGGGAAATTCTTAAAAGGTTTTAAGTATAAAATAAAATTTAAAAAAAAAAAAGGTTTTAAGTAATGATAGCACATCACAGACAGCTGTTGAATGATAAGAGGAGAACATAAAAACATAAAAAAAAGAAGAAACAAGAGTATAAAATTATATTAGTAAGTACAGCAGTGGACAGAGTGATCAAACACTGATAGTTCACAACCTTGGGACGTGTATTACTTTACTATGCATCATGTGTGAGAGGGTTGTTTGAAGTGGACTTCCATAAGCAAACTCACATCTTCATCAGGAAATACTGTGTCTTTACCCATTGTTTTGAATCTACTGAATTGGAAAATGATGGTACTAAGTCAGGTTACTTAAGGAGCTGGGCAACCAGATTTCTTTGCTCCTTTATGCTGTATTTGTAGAGTTAAAGAATTCTTAAGAGGTCCTATCAGCCAACCAACCAGTGCTTCCCTTGGTGGAGTTCAAGCTGCTCTGTTCAGTTATTACTTAAGAGTAATACTTTTTATATCCTTTATCCTAGTCTCCTTATGGTAAAAGTTGCTAGTTTCCTATGAGTTATGACTGCTACAGGAAATTTTTACTAAGAGGCCTTCTCATGACAATGAAAAACCAAGAGAAAAATGTCAACCCTCACACCTAACTCCATCCCTTCCTCACTCAGCCACACAAGTTCTACATACAGACCTTGTGCCTGAGCAATCTTCCCTCCCCCTCAAATCTAAAAGGAGAGCAGGCAGCAGCCTGGAAAGAGTTACTTCATCCAGTTGGCTAATAGGTCACATATTCCATGGGAAAAGATCCAGGTATGGAAAAGAGGGAATGGTTAGGCCTTCTGTGTAAGAAAAAAGAGCAGTACTAGCAACATGGTTTGCAGGTCTGGGTAAAAAGTGATAAAATTCCAGTTTGGGGGTGAAATGAACTATGTCCCCCATAGGTTCACATGCTGCCAGCTCTCCTCTGCCTGCTGGCATCTTCCCAGGCTTCTGTCTGGCACCTCCACTAAATACCTAAAAGAATCAGATTCATTCCAAAGCTTCACCAAGGAGGGAGGAGAAAGGCAAAAAGTCCTGCCAAGTACTTTGATCTATGCAGGGGGTCTCAAGAGATTCCTCCCAGGGAGAGGTGGGAGGGAGAAAGAGATTCAGACAAAGCCTGCCAAATGTGCATTCCCTAAAGACATGTCATTCCCTTTATGAGTTCCAACATCAGCGAGGAGTTAGGGCACAGGGTTCCCAGCCCCACAAGGAAAGCTTTAGTTTTCTATTCTTTATGATGTTAGCTTTAGAAGAATGGATCATGAGGGCAAAAGAGCATTCCAAAAGAAAAAAGTCCCAGATGTGCTAGGAATAGATCCTTTTCTTTTTGACTCATGTCTAAGAAAAAAAAAGCAAATCTATCCCAGAGTTGATTTTCAATAGCAATTCTATTTGGCAGCTAAAACCCTAATCCAAACTAGTGCTGTCCATGAGATTCAAACAACACTGAGCTCCTGGCACAGAGCTGAAAGGAAGGCTGTTGGACAGGAGCCTCACGCCAGAGTCAGATGGACAGAAGACAGAGCCAAGGCATATGACCAGGTTTTAGGTCACATGAGATCTGGTACAAAATAACCTTAATAGTAACCCAGGCCAGGTGACAGAACTTATAACTGGGGCCTGGAGTCCAGTGGTTGTTCACTGGAACCAGAGCCCCAATTCATCCAGTATGAAAGGTCTGGCCATCATTGTTTATCATCCAGTTTTGGGGTTTTTTTTGGTTGGTCCTGGGGCTTGAACTCTTGGCCTGTGCGCTGTCCCTCGGCATTTCAGCTAAAGATGAGTGCTCCATCACTTTAGCCACAGTACCACTTCTAGTTTTCTAGTGGTTTATTAAAGATAAAAGTCTCACCGACTTTCCTGCCCGGGCTGGCTTTGAACCATGATCCTCAAATCTCAGCCTCCTGAGTAGCTAGGATTACAGGCATGAGCCACCGGTGCCCGACACCATCTAATTTTGAGTCCAGGATCTGCCAAGTTGAAAAGCCCCTCAGAAAGCTCATTTCTGCACACATAGGAAACAGCTCAATGAGAAAGGTAATTGAAGAATTTAAGATGGTGTATTGACCACACCCACAACATATCTACCCCCACTTACCTTTCCTGTCCAGAGTTCTACTCGAAGAACAGAAAGGGTATTTTCAAAAGAATGAAATGATAATAAGGCCAGAAAAAAAAGCAAAAGGAGCCAGAATAGACCAAAAATTTAAAGAAGTCCTGAAAAACAGCTAGCAGATGGAATCAGGTTGAAAAACCAGAGCTGAGGAAGCCCTAGCTCAAATATGGAGGGGGAGGGCTCCTGAGCCCTTGCAAAGGTACAAGCTTGGCCATACAAGCTGGGTAAGAAGTAGGGCAGGCCAAGAAACACACATCAGATCATCATCTGGGATATCGAGCAGTGGGCCTTCTCTAAGCACCCAAGTGGCAGCTATACTTTGAGGATCAAACCTAATGATGCTCTGGGAAGCATCCCTTGTGTGGTTGCAGGGATCTCATGGAGGAGAGAAGAACCTAAGCTTACTCTGTCCCCAACAAACACTAAAAAGAAAAGAGAGGAAAAATATGCATAGGAAGAAACTCATCAAGCTCCCCTACGGTCATGAGGCCCATCTGTCTTGGCAAAATAGAAGAGGCAGGCTCTTCAACCACATTCTCAACTCCATCTATAAGTGAACATGCTGTGCTCTTACAGAAAATGCCCCATCAGTCTCTGATCCAGGAAGGGGCTGTCCTCTCATCCAGGAAGGGGCTGCCAGGGAAAGAGTTTTACATGGCCATACAGAAATCCAAACCAACCCACCAGTTTCAGTCTAGTCTGATTCATAAATATGGCCTAACACCTAAGAATTAGCAGAATTAAGATGATCCAATAGCAGGAAGAAAGCCAACACCCAGAAAATTCAAGAACAGAAGGGTACTTTAAAGGCATGTTTTCCTCAGGGAAACAGGCAGGCAAACTGCATCCATTAAGCAATAACAGACCATTATCTGCAAGTAAAAATAAAAATAAAATTTAAAAAGTTTCTGGCAACCAAAGTGTGATAGTATAAATATCCACTGCAAGATAACAAAATGGACAGAGCTAAAACTGGTGATTCAAAAGATAAAGGTATGAAAAGGCTGAAGAATGAAAACTAAGGAAGAAAAAAAAAAAAAAGCAAACACAAAAAGTCCCAAAGTATCTAAAAAAGGAGTTCCAAAAGTGGAGACAGAGATAGTACGAGGATAATTTTCCTCAAGCTGAAGAAAAACAAAACAAAACAAAACAAAAACAAACTCTTAGATGGGTCCATTAAATATCCAGAAGAGGGCTGGGAAGGTGGCTCAGTGGTAGAGTACTTGCCTTGCATGCCTGAGGCCCTGGGTTCGATTCCTCAGCACCACATAAGCAAAAAGGAAAAAGCCGGAAGTGGCCCTGTGGCTCAAATGGTAGAGCGCTAGCCTTGAGCTGAAGAGCTGAGGGACAGCGCCCAGGCCCAGAGTTCAGGCCCCATGACCGGACCCCCGCCCAAAAAAATAAATAAATATCCAGAAGAAAAAAAAGGGGGAAAAAAGAGGGGGAAAAAGGACTAGACCTATATACAAATTTCAGAATCCCAAATGCTGTAGGGTCTGAGGTTTTTACTTTAAATGTTTTTATTCAACTTATAACACAGAAAACTGAGTCATAGTTACTGAAGAGTTTGTTTTTGGTTTTTGGGTTTTTTTGCCAGTCCTGAACTCATGGGCCTGGGCACTGTCCCTGGGTTTTCTTTTGCCATAGTACCTCTTCGGGCTTTTTCTGTTTAAGTGGTACTAAGGAACTGATCTCAGGGTATCATGCATGCTTAGCAAGCACTCTACTACTAAGCCACATTTCCAGCCCTACTGAAGAAAACTGTAAATGTTATAACCCTTTAAAATATTGAAAAAAAAACTTCAGCAGATATAGAATGTGGAAGAGCACAGAGGCAGATAGGAATACAATAAATGTCAGGCTGGAATTACCAAACACTATGTAAATTGAGAAAGGAAGAAGCATAAATCATCAATGTCAACTAACTATTGGGGAAAGTCTAGAGAATGAGGCGTTTTATGTACTTTGCATAAATTACTTAGTACTGTGTATCAAATTCTAAAACAATGTTGAATGAAAATTTTGCAAAGAACTAAGACACTGATGTTTTCTAAAAAGGGGGAGGAGAATAGGAAAGAAGGGAAGGGAAAGCAGAAAGAAGGAACAAGAGCAGAACAATAACAACACCTCAAAAGAAAATTTTGCTCACTAATTGAAAGCAGGAACCCAAAGTTGTGCTCAACTAAAGGTGCATGCTACCAATTAATGCCAGTGCTGAAGAACTAACAGTGATATATACAGAAGCAGAAGACACCTCTTTTCTGTGGACACAAAAGCTGCCTTCCCCCAGATATGACCAAGTGACTTTCTGCCATGGAGGAAATGTTATGGCACAGGAGAAGGTCACTAGCAGTAGGGTAAACAATAGACCTTGCACAGCCATTCTCAATTCTGAATCAGACATCAGAAGGGACTATTATTCTTAAGGGGAAGGATCCACAAGACTACCAGGTCTGCCATCTTCTACATACTTACATTGTTGATCAAGTAGACGCCACGCCCTCTAGAAGAGGCCACTGGTTTAACTATCCAAGGTCCCCGATCCTTTGAATATGAATCTGCTCAAAATATTGGGAAATAAAACAAGAGAAAAAGCAAGACAAAGAAGGAATGTGAGGTTATTATCTTAAATTTCAAGAATGATTATTATCTTTAGGTAACTAAAACCTTCAAAACTTCTAGCAGGAGGGCAGCAACTAAAAGTACCTGTATTTTTGGACTAACCTTGAAAGGAAAGGTAGGGACTGGGGGAGAAGAGGAGGAAATGAAACAACAGCAAGTTCAAGGCTAACTTGGGCTACGGAAACAAAATGCAAAAACAGAAGTTCTGGGAACAGAGCCCAAGGAGAAGAGCACTAGAGAGATACTCAATCCCCTACGGGCTAGAAGGAAAGAAGGAAGAAAGAAAAGGAAGGAGACAAAGAAAAGGGAAGAAGGAAGGGAAGGAACAGAGGAAGGGTAGAAGAAAGGGAAGGAGAGAGGGAAGGAAGGACCACACAGAATCTAAAGTTCGACTGTATCCTCTAGTTCTATTCACATCTGTGAAATACTGTATATACATGGTTATATGATATTGCATTATAACAGCAAAGGATTAATTAGATACACTCTTACATCTGGGAGGGGGGTTATCAGCAAAATTACTGTTTAAGGCCAGATCACAGAGCACAGTTGCTCATCCCTACAATCTAGCTACCTGAGAAGTGGACATCAAGATCTGGGGTTTTTATTGTAAATGTTTTACTCAACTTACAATACTGAAAACTTAGTTACGTTATTGAAGAGAACTGTAAATGTTACAATCCTTTTAAAATACCAAAATAAAATCTGGGGGGAGGTGTTTCACTCTTGCTATCCCAGCTGCCTGAGAGGTATGTATAGGAGGATCACAGTCTAGGTAAGGTCATATTCAAAACATTTAAAAAAACAACTGAAGATAACAGCATAAGTGATAGAAGACCTGTTTGACAAGTGCAAAGCCCTAAGTTCAAACCCCAGTATTGCCAAAATATAAACAAATCCAAATTTCACAACAAGAAAACTCTTCCTGAAGATTTAATCAGAGAGCAGAACCCTGAACAAGTGGCACAGCCTGACCAGCATCATGGTACGATGAAACCAAGAATCCTCTTCACTATCACACCTTCCCTGTCCCTCCTCTTCTATAGGTTAAGAAGTCCCTGCTGTGGTCTTTAGATGGTAACACTAAGGACTTACCTGGAAATACAGCAGATGCTTCTATTTGCCAGGCCTACATGTGGTGACATTGGGTTATGGCTGCAAAAAATGCTATGCATTCTACTGACCTTCAGAAAGCATTTTTGTTTAAAAAAAAAAAAAAAGTACAATTTAAAAGAGTCTGAGTAGCTAAAAGACAATTCTACTGAAACCCAAATCAGACTTGAGTGGATGGGAGAAAAACTCTTAACTCTAACCACCAAATAAGCACCTCCCCCATCCATTGCTGCAGGGCAGGAGGATTTCAGGAAGGAAAAAATTGCAGAGCTCTGCTAAGTTCAACTTAATAGAGAACTGTTCTTAACTTTAATTTCTCTCTTTTTGGAATTCCACAATAGGAGATGTTCATACCATTTTATGTTGCTGACATAATAGCCAAATCATTTTTATGCCATCGTGTTGGCTTATGATGGTTTGTATTTTACCACTTTTATTAGGTAACAGGCAATTAAATATCACTTGAAGCTGGGCATGGGGTGATTCTTGCCTATAATCCTAGTTACTTGAGAAGCTGAGATCTGAGGATCGTGGTTTGAAGCCAGCTGAGGCAGGAATGTTCATGAAACTCTTTCTTATCTCCCACCAAAAAAGTTGCAAGTAGAGCTGTGGCTCAATTGGTAGAGCATTAGCCTTGAGCAAAAAAGTTCAAGGACAGTACATAGTCTCGGAGTTCAAGCCCCAGGACCCAGCACACACACCTCCATACACACTAAAAAGTCCGTAACTTGAAATAAGAAATAATACTGAATGTCAAACACCTATCAGGTACTGTTCCAAGTGCTCTCCACATATGAACCTACTTAAGCATTCTGACAACACTACCTGTAAGGTCTGTGCTAAGGTACACAGAGGTCTGAATGACCTGGCCAAAGCCACATAACGGCAACAACAACAAAAAATCCTTGCCAGGCCAGCCCTTGCTGGCTCACAACTTTATCCTAGCTACTCAGGAGGTTGATATCTGAGGACCATGGTTTGAAACCAACCCAGGAAAGAAAGTCTGTGAGACTCTTATCTCTAATAAACTATTCAGAAAAAGCCAGAAGTAGTGCTGTGGCTCAAGTGGTAGAGCACTAGCCTTGAGCATAAAGAGGGTCAGGGACAGCAATCAGGCCCTGAGTTCAAGCCCCAGGACTGGGAAAAAAAAAATCCTTGCCAGGAGCTGGTGGCTCACACCTGTAATCCTTAACTACTCAGGAGGTTGAGATCAGGATCCTGGTTCAAAGCCAACTCTGGCAGACAAATCCCAGAGATTCCTATCTCCAATTAACCAGCAAAAAGTTATATGTAGAGGTGTGATTCAAGTCGTACAGAATCAACTTTGAGTGGAAAAAGCTAAGGGAAGGCACTGAGTTTAAGGCCCAGTACTAACATGAACACACACACACACACACACACACACACACACACACACACACACACACACACACACACACTCCTTAACTACAATATGTCAGCCTTGAGTGCACTATAAGTAGGAAATCAATTTTTTACTTTTTTTTTTGCCAGTTACTGCAGTTCGTCCTGAGCCTTGTGCTTGCTTATTTGGCTGGTGCTTACCACTTGAGCCATGCCACTAACATGACTTTTTGCTGGTTATCTTGGAGATGGAATCTCACAAACTGTTCTGCCCAGACTGGCTTGGGACCACAGTCCTCCAGATCTCAACCCCCTGAGTAGTCAGGATTATAGGCATGAGCCCGGTGCCTGACTAAGCTTTGGAGATTTTATTGTTATTGCTGTTACTGTTGCTTTGGTTTTATGGTGATACTGGGCTTTGAACTTAAGATCTCTTGCTTGCTAGGCAGGTATTACCACTTGGGCAAGCCCCTTGATTAATTAATGCTCTAGGTGACCCACTTCAGGGAATTCTGTAGGCCAATGATGAACTAATGATTCCAGCTAGATACAAAATAGTATCTGAGTTCTTTTTTTTTTGTCGGTCGTGGGGCTTGAACTCTGGGCCTGGACGCTGTCCCTCAACTCTTCAGCTCAAGGCGAGCGCTCTACCACTTGAGCTACAGCGCCACTTCCGGTTTTCTAGTGGTTTATTGGAGATAGGAGTCTCACTGCCTCTCCTGCCCAAGCTGGCTTTGAACCACAATCCTCAGATCTCAGAGTAGCTAGGATTACAGGCGTGAGCCACCAGCGCCTGGCCAGTATCTGGGTTCTTTATACACTATTGTTCTCTTCACTCAAACGATGGACAGAATCCAGGTGCCGGTAGCCTGTAATCCTAGCTACTCAGGAGGCTGAGATCTGAGGATCATAGTTCAAAGCCAGCCCAGGCAAGAAAGTCTGTGAGACTCTTACCTCCAATTAACTACCAGAAAACCGATAGTGGCACTGTGGCTGAAGTGGTAGAGCACTAGCCTTGAGCTGAAGCGCTGAGGGACAGCACCCAGGCCCAGCGTTCAAGTCCCACGACAGACCAAAAAAAAAAAAAGATGGACAGAAAGAAACTTTGTCTGTTTTCTGTCTTCCCTAAAACTCCATTCTCACTGGTGATGCTGGAAAGTGGTCAAATGTAAGCAAACACAGTGCTGGACAGTATGGCCTCTGAAACCATACTGACAGTCTGAATCTTAACTGCACAAGTACAAGATGCAGGACTTCAAGAAAGTTTTTAACCAAACTGTTCCTGACCCTTATCTATAAAACTCACTTGAGTAGGGGATCCACTTAAAGCAGTTCCTAAGTGTTCAATCAGTGTCAGCTATTACACAACTACTATATAGACTCTCATTCCTTGTCTACCTTTTCTTGTACCAAGTCTACTGAATGCCTACTATTCCCAGGAGGAGGGCCCAAAATAGCCCAACTCTTAGGCAAGTTTATGAAGAGGCAAAAGAAATAAGAATCCCATTTTAGACCTGGATCTGGGCCATATGTTCCTATGTAACTTTACCAGTAATACCAGCTGACATTTAGATCCCTACTTGGCTCCCATGTGTATTTTTTTATTAGTCTGAACTTAAGGAAAAAGGGTGTGACTAATTAGTACCACCAAACCATACCCTAACATCAAAAGATATATGATACTTGTTCCCAAACAGTATAAATCACACAAGTCTAGAAATCAAGGCAGCAAGAATGTTCTTAAATAGCAAAGGAAAAGGGACAGTAAGAGAAGCACATGCAGTTCGCATGCAGAAATACAAAGTGTGCTTGCTCAGGCACTGACTCTCACTGACAATTAAGCACAAATACTCAACACCAGGCAAACCTGGATGACCCCAATGTAGCCCTTTATATATATATATGCTTACTGTCATCTACTAGACAATCAGAATAAAAGCAGTTTTAAATTTGTGCCTGCAACTGTTTTACTAATGTGAAGCTTCTGAGTTAGATCTGCCCTAAGTTCAGGTGATAGGGCTGGGGTACTCTTGGTCAAGCACTTACTACAAAATTCCGCGTACTCAGCTGGCAAGAGGAAGGTCTGAGGGAGGATGTGGAAAGCCTTGAATCCATGCGTATGCTGCATCCGAATGACGTTTTTGTATAGTCTGTCCTTTCGAGTTAGTTCATAAGACCTACAAACCAAAAATATATTTCCATGTCAGTAAGCTGTGATGCAGAGGTCTTCCTTGTTATTACACTAGTAAGAGTTCATAGTTTGCCATTCTGGAGCAGTTCTAAAGATACTAAGAAGTCTAAATGTATCATTTTGTTATTCCTCAAGGCTTATGAACCATGTCATTAAGTGGGTATTTTTGGTCAGATTTATTAAAATACCATTTATTTATAGTAAAATTTCTCCTTTTGAGTGTATAATTATCAGTTTGGACAAGCACTTACCAGCACAGGTCTAACATCAAAAGTTTCTGGGAATGTGGCTTAGTGGTAGAATGCTTGCCTAGCATGCATGAAACCCTAGGTTCGATTCTTCAGTACCACATAAACAGAAAAAGCCAGAAGTAGCGCTGTGGCTCAAATGGTAGAGTGCTAGCCTTGAGCAAAAGAAGCTCAGGGACAGTGTTCAGGCCTAAGTGCAAGCCCCAGGACTAGCAAAAAAAAAAAAAAAAGTTGCTTCCAGTACCTTGGTAGTCAACTTGTCAATCACCACCAGACCATGGGCAAACATTCATCTTTCTGTTGTTTCCCAAAAAGTCAAGTCAAAGGAATTATGTGGCACATACATTTTTAAGATTGGCTTCTTTCACTGAGTAGGATGCATATGATCTTTACCCTTGTTGCTGCACTTATTTGTATTTTGTCCTTTACCTTACTGGGTAAATAATAATATGACTATTAACACATTCACCAACTGAAGGACATTCAGGTGTTCCCAGTTCGGAGAAATGATGAATAAAGTTGCTATCAGCATTTGCACAGTTTTCTGTGAACACAGCTTTTTTTTTCCAGCTTTTGTGCAAACATTCATTTTTCAACGTGTAAATCTGCTGTTTAGCAAGCTGTATTAGTTATCTATTGTTGAATAACCAATCCCCAAATATAGGATCTTAAAATAACAATGTACATTTGTGATCTCATGTACTGTGGACCAAGAATGTAGAATGACATGGCTGGTTTTGTCTCAGGGCCTCTTCTCAGGTTGTAGACAAGATGTTGGCCTGTGCTGAGGTACTCAGACATAACTGGTAATGGAGGATCTACTACTTCCCAGATGTCTTATTGGTATGGGGATGGCTGCTAGCCAGAGGCCTCAGTTCCTCCCCGTATGAACTCTCTACTTCATGCTTCACCATATGGCCACTGCCGCCTTCTAGATCAAGTGATGTAAGAAAGATGCTGCATATCTGCTATGACCTAGTCTCAAAGTGACACTCTGCCACTTCTGCCACATTCCATTTGATAGAGGCAAGTTGCTAAGTCCAGTAGACACTCAAGAACAGAAAAAATTAGCTCAACTTTTTGAAGGCAGTGTCAAAAAATTTATGGACACATTTTACAATCACCAGATAAGTGTATGTTTAACTTTATTAGAAACTGCCAAATGGTTATTCTGAGAACACTGGAAAAACAGCTCAGTTTCTCCTATGAGGAAATATCAAAGCATTTTTCCTATTTTCTATTCTCAGTTCAACACAATCACTCAACACTTTTGACACCATCTGTAAGAGGGCTTTTCCCCACATACCAGCAAGCAATCCTGCAGCAGACACCTACAGAGTGTAATTCAGGTCAGTTCTGACATTATCTACCTAGAGATGGCATCAGATCCCACAGAAATAGGTTCAGTCCCTCTGACTTTCCCCTCACTTCTGATGCTAATTACAAGACAGTTCTTTACCTGGTTGAACAAGATTCCAAGATCCTCTCTTTGGGTTCAAACAATTTGCCAAAGGAGGTGACAGAACACAGTATAACACTCAGTTACATTTACTGGTTTATTGTAAAAGGTATTACAAAGGATAAGAGGGAACAATACATAGAGTAAGTTATGGGAGAAAAGGTGTAGAATTTCTAGGCCTTCTCCTAACACTCTACCCTCCAGGAATTCCCACATGTCCTTAGGGTTTGTAACAGAAGCTTAATTTGGTAGGCACAACTGATTGGATCACTGGTGATCATTATGACTTTCAGTCCCTTTCCTCTTCATAGAAGTTGAGGAGCAGGCTGGAACACTCAACCCTCCCATTATACTTTAGTCTTTCCTATCAGAAGTCCTCATTCTGAAGCTACCAAGAGGCTGCCGGTCATCAATCAATTCATTAGCAACCAAAGGATACTTGCCACCTTGGAGACTACAAGCTTTAAGAGTTGTAGATCAGGAAACAGAGACTTAGATATAGAAATGTATGTCTCTCTCTCTCTCTCTCTCATAAATATATATATATATATATATATATATATTTTTTTTTTTTTTTTTTTTTTTTAACCAAAGTGACTGTATACCATTTTGTGTTCCCACCAGCAACTCAGTCTGGCTAGCACTTGGTTTTTATGTTTTATGTTTTAACAGATAGATAGATAGATAGATAGACAGACAGACAGACAGACAGACAGACAGACAGATAGGTAGATGTAGATGTAGATATAGGTATATATCTTACACAGCTTTGATCTGGATTCCACTAGAACCTAATGACATTGAGCATCTTTACAAAACCTTAATTTGTCATAGGTATATCTTCTTTGCAGTATCCACTCAAATCTTTTGCTCATTTTGAAAAATAGGGTTGCTTACTTATTGAGAGTCAATTGTATACTTTGAATTGAAATTCTTCATCACAGATACATTTTACAAATGTATTCTCCAGCTTTTAGTTTGCTTTTCCTGTTTCTTAACTATGTCTTCAGAATGCCTGTCTAGGAAGTACAAGGCCCTAAATTCAATCCCCAATATTACCTCTAGACATGTAGGATACACATACACATTTAATGATTAAAAACTACATTGTTTCAATTTTGTTAAAAGCAAAGAAATGGAATACCATCATACAAGGAGGATTTGTTAGGCTGTGACTAGAATTAGACAACAGTATTTTTAGTCCTTTGCTTGGAATCTTGGAAATTTTTATGCCCAGGGGCAATGAGTCATATTAAAATACTAGGTGGGTCATTATTTCATGAAGGTAAAAAAAAGCAGTAACTGAAAGGGAAAGTGAGGAAGGAGAATTCATTCCTATGAGGTGTTGTCAATAAGCTCATATTCAGGAAAGAATTGTCTCCTTTAAAATCATCAGCATCAAGCCAGGCGCCTGTAATGCTAGCTATTCAGGAGGCTGAGATCTGAGGATTGTGGATCAAAGCCAGCCTGGATAGGAAAGTCTGTGAAATCAATAAACTACTCAAAAAAGTTGAAAGTGGCACTGTGGCTCAAGTGGTAGCCTTGAGCAAACAAAGCTCAGGGACAGAGCCCAAACCCAGAGCCCCAGAACCAGGAAGAAAAAAAAAAAAAAAAAAAAAAAAGCATCTTCACTGTCAGGGAAAAGGTTTCCTGGAACTCTATTCAGAAAGCTCCTGTCTGGCCGGGCACTGGTGGCTCATGCCTGTAATCCTAGCTACTCAGGAGGCTGAGATCTGAGGATAGCGGTTCAAAGCCAGCCCGGGCAGGAGAGACCGTGAGACTCCTATCTCTAATAAACCACCAAAAAACCGGAAGTGGCGCTGTAGCTCAAGTGGTAGAGCGCTCGCCTTGAGCTGAAGAGTTGAGGGACAGCGCCCAGGCCCAGAGTTCAAGCCCCACGACCGACCAAAAAAAAAAAAAAAAAGAAAGTTCCTGTCTGGCCAAGAAGTTCCAATGTTTCTCCTACATCCTACAGTAGTTTCAAGATTTCAAGTCTTACACTGAGGTCTTTGATACATTTTGAATTGATACTAGTACATGGTGACAGCTATGGACCCAGTTTCCATTTTCTGTGTGTAGATACCCAGTTTTCTCAAAACCATTTGTTGAAAGGGCTCTTTTTCCATCCTATGTTTTTGGCTCCCAAATATTAGATGACTGTAGGTCTGCAAGTTTCTTTCTGGCTCTTCTATTTTGTTCCATGGTCTTCAGTTCTATCTTGTGCCAGTACCAATATTAACTATTGTTACTGACTAGATATACCAATATCAGCAAAGTAGCTACAAGAGTATTACCTGGGAAAGTGATTAACCTTTTGTGCTTCAGAGAGGGTGCGAAGTAAGAAGGGCTTCAGGTGGGATCCTGTCCACATCAGATTATAGTCTGTGCTGCTTGGGTGAACCTGAGGGCAGGCAGAAATTCAAAAGACAAGAAACCATCAGAGACAGCCGTTTCTAGGAAAAACAATACAGAGAAAGTCCTAGCAATTGTTCATTCAAAAGACTCACAACAGTAGCCTAATAAGTATGGGAACCTAATGAGACAGAAAAAAGTTTCACAGCACAGAAGACAATGTTTGAAAAATACGTAAGTTCCTACAATAGATGAGTGGATCCAAAAAATGTTGTATCTATACACAATGGAATTTTGCATAGACATTAGAAAAAATATTATGTCATTTACAGGGAAATGGATGGACCTAGAACAAATTATGTTAAATGAGGTAAATCAAACTTAGAGAGACTAACAGTGCATGTTTTCTCTCATATGTGGAAATCAGATCTAAAACACACAGGGACGTGATAAAATATACAGGACTCTAGGCATGCACACACAGTGAGACCAAAGGAAGATACTCTTAGGGGAAGAACACAAAGGCTCAATGCCTATATGCATCTGATCATATAAAATAATATTTATCAAAATGAACACCAGAAAATGGAAACAAGTTTTTTTTTGTTGTTGTTGTTGTTATTTTGTCTTGTTGGTATGGTTATCTATCTTTGGGAGGGCAAGAAGAAGAACAGAAATGGAGGGACAAAGGGTGAACAAATGCAGCAGTGGTACTCTAACTAGACAGTATGTTGAAAATAATCTATACAACTTGTGGGAAGGAAAAACCAAGAAAGAGTGGGGGAAAGGGTAACACTGTCCAAAAAGAAATGTACTCTCAGAAGTGGTGCTATGGCTCAAGTGATAGAGCGCTCGACTTGAGCTGAAGAGCACAGGGACAGCGCCCAAGCACAGAGGTCAAGCCCCACAACTGACCAAAAAGAAAACAAAAAAAATTTTTTTTTTTAAAATGTATTCTCTGCCTGATTTATATAACTGAAATCTTCTGTAATTAGCTTTATAATAATAAAAGATAAATATTTTTTAAAGTACACAACTTAAAAATATAAGGAAGTTGGGTAAATCCTAAATGCAAAAAAAAATAAAATTAACCCTTCTATAGATGTTGATATCTTTTTTTTGTTCAAGACTAGAACTTGAAGTCTGGGAAGGAGGCTCAGTGGGAAAGTTCTTGCCTTGCATGCATGAGGCCCTGGGTTCGATTCCCCAGCACCACATAAGCAGAAAAAGCCGGAAGTGGTGCTGTGACTCAAGTGGTAGAGCACTCGCCTTGAGCTGAAGAGCTGAGGGACGGTGCCCAGGCCCAGAGTTCAGGCCCCACGACCAACAACAACAACAAAAGACTAGAACTTGAACTTGGTATCTGATGCTTTTGCTCACTGGCTGTGCTCTACCCCGAGCCACACCTCCAACCCTGATACTTTTTAATTCTTTTGGATATCAAAATATAAGATCAGGACCCAACTGCAAAATTGCTTTCTCAGACCTAGCTTCTTTGCAGATACTCAGTATGAAGTGTTCATCAGATACATGATTTTTGCTGGGCGCCAGTGGCTCATGCCTGTAATCCTAGATACTCAGGAGGCTGAAATCTGAGGATCATGGTTCAAAGCCAGCCTGGGCAGGAAAATCTGTGAGACTCTTATCTCTAATAAACCACTCAGAAAATCGGAAGTGGTGCTCTGGCTCAAGTGGTAGAGTGCTAGCCTTGAGATGAAGAGCTAAGGGACAATGCCCAGGCCCAGAGTTCAAGCCCCACAACCGACAAAAAATAAATAAATAAAACCAGATACATGATTTTAGATTAACCAAGTTATTTTATTTGTTGATTTGTTAGAATATACTTGTCCATTCATTAAGAATTATATACTGTGCCTGGAGTATGTTAGAATCATGGAATGTGCTGAAGGTTTTTAAAAAAAGAAGACAGGATATAATATACATATCTATATATACGTATATATATAAATCATCTGCAGTTCTTGATTATAGGCATTCTAACTGGGGGGAGGTAGAATCGCAATGTTGTTTTGATTTGCATTTTTTTTTTTTTTTTTTGGGTCCGGTTGTGGGGCCTGAACTCGGGCCTGGGCACTGTCCCTCAGCTCTTCAGTTCAAGGTTAGCACTCTACCACTTGAGCCACAGCGCCACTTCCAGCTTTTTTCTTTTTGCTTATGTGTTGCTGAGGAATCGAACTCAGGGCCTCAGGCATGCAAGGCAAGCACTCTACCACTGAGCCACCTTCCCAGCCCCTGATTTGCATTTCTTTTATGGCTAGAGAGGCTGAGCATTTCTTCATGAGTCTATTGGCCATCCTTATTTCTTCTTCAGCAAAGTTTCTCTTTAAGTCTTTAGCCCATTTATTTATTGGGCAGTTGTTTCTTGAGGATTTTTAATTTTTTGAGTTCCAAGTATATTTTAGATATGAGACCCTTGTCCATTGTATGGCTAGTGAAAATCTTCTCCCAATCTGTGGGCTTTCTATTGATGTTGCTAGCTATGTTCTTTGCCATGCAGAAGCTCTGCAGTTTCATGCAATCCCATTTGTCCAACCTTTCTTTGATTTGTTGTGTTTCTGGGTCTCTATTAAGAAAATTTCAGCCTGTACCAAGGAGACCTAGGGTTTCTCCTATTCCATCCTGTAATGTTTTCAGGGTGTTTGCTTTGACTCCAAAGTCTCTGATACATTTGGAGTTGATTCTGGTGCAGGGTGATATATAAGGATCTAGCTTTAGTTTTCTACAGGTGATTAACCAATTTTACCAGCACCATTTACTGAAGAGGCTGTCTTTCTTCCATACTATTTTAACAGTTGCTGGAAGGGATGTGGCCAGAAGGGAACCCTACTGCATTGTTGGTGGGAGTGTAAACTTGTTCAACCATTTTGGAAAGTAGTATCCACGTTCCTCAAAAGACTCCACATAGAGTTCCCCTATGACCCAAATACGACCATACTAAAGCTACCAGCACAACTATGTTTATTGCAGCATTATTTACCATAGCTAAGCTATAAAACTAACCCAGATGCCCCTCAGTAGATGAATGGATCAAGAAAATGTGGTACACAGACACACACACACACACACACATACACACACACACACACATACATACACACACACACACACACACACACACACACACACACACGCTGAAATTCTATGCGTCCATCAGAAAGAATAACATCACCCCTTTGTTAGGAAATGGAAAGACTTGGAAAAAATTATATTAAGTGAGGTAAGCCAGACCCAAAGAAACATAGGTCCCATGGTTTCCTTATTCGCAATAACTAGTATATGTCTGGGACAAGCAGAAAAGGTCAGATAAGATGGTGTTAAGCAAAATGAACCCCAAGATAGGGACACAAGTGTTTTTTCTTGCTTGCTATTGTTTCTAATGTATTTATAAGGTACCATGTGATTTTTTTTTTGTTGCTTTATATGTCCCTCCCCCACGGTATAACCCCTGTTTTCACTGTATTTGATGCTGGTATAATTGGGGAGGGGAAGGGAAAAATAGGGATACAAGTTGACCCATTGCAACAATGAGAAGTATAAGATGCTATGTAGAAAAATGAACTTTACAATTTAGGTGGGGGTGGGGGGTAGTTGAGGATCTGGAAGGGAAAGGATGGTAGGAGAAAAAACAAAGGAGATGGCAACAATGCTTGATAAGAAGTGTACTCATGGGCTGGGAAGGTGGCTCAGTGGTAGACCGCTTGCCTTGCATGCATGAGGCCCTGGGTTCGATTCCTCAGCACCACATAAGCAAAAAGAAAAAAGCTGGAAGTGGCACTGTGGCTCAAGTGGTAGAGCGCTAGTCTTGAACTGAAGAGCTGAGGGACAGCGCCCAGGCCCAGAGTTCAGGCCCCACGACCGGACCCGAAAAAATAAAAAAAAGAAGTGTACTCATTACCTTGCTCATGTAACTGTAACCCCTCTGTACAGTATTTTCACAATAAAAAACTTATTTTAAAAAAAGATCATCTACAAAATGTCTCCTACAAATATCAACCTAGTATAATGAGTTAGCAACTAGATTTTTCTTCAACAGCCTCAAAGCTCTGCCTATCTTCTTTTGTAATGACACCTCAATTTTCTGAGTGGGAATGACTATTGATTTTAGAGGCCTGCTAATCACCCATCCACCCTCTCCCATAAGGAGTGAATCTGTGATTCAAGCTAATCCAATCATTCTATTTCCAGAGGAAGACACAGGACAGAGAGTCCAGACCAATAACTCCCAGGCTAGTAACTTGAGGAAATGATCTAATGACTCCTGACCTAAATCCCAAAGGCTGTCCTGGCCTCTCTCCTTCCAAAGACCTAACTTCTCAGTTTATCTCTGAACCTGACTCTGCTAGACACCCTCTGTACCTTTTTCCTACAAGTCCTTTTGGCATAAGTTACACAGAGCTCATTTCTGTTGCTTGTACTCAAAGAACCTCAAGTGAGTACTAGACAATTCCTTATGAGAAACTCTCCCTCTGGCCTAAGTTTTTTGAGTTTTTTTGTTTTGTTTTTTTGTCAGTAGTGGGGCTGGGCACTGTCCCTCAGCTCTTCAGCTCAAGGTGAGTGCTCTACCACTTGGGCCATAGTGCCACTTACGGTTTTCTGGTGGTTAATTGGAGATAACAGTCTCACGGGCTTTCCTGCCCGGGGTGACTTTGAACCATGATCTTCAGATCTCAACCTCCTGAGTAGATAGGATTACAGGCATGAGCCACCGGTGCCCAGAGAGCTTAGGCTCTCTGGCCTAAGTTTAAGGGAACAGAAAAAAAATCTTTCGGAAATGCTTTTCCATATATCATAAGCAAGGAGAAACTATACTACTCAGAAATACTACTCAGTTCTGCATTATCATGAAGCACTGGTTCCATATAATGTCTACAGCTGTCACTGTTAACTGATAAAGTTAGGTAGCTATAATTTTTAGCTTTTGAGCAGACCAAATGAGGAAGTGAAAATAAGCTTACTTCATGAAATCCATGGGCTGTCAGAATACTGCGTACCAGGCGACTGTCTGTTCGCACAATCTTATAAGACAAATGATAACGTTCTAAAGAAAAACACAGAATTAAATTCAGTAAACTCAGCATTAACTTTAAGAACAAAAATAAGCTATAAATGGTTAATTATAGTTGCTTAATAACAGATGCTAAATTATAGTTAGTAACATTATACTGCTACCCTTCAACAACATATAAATTGAGGATACTTGGAATAGACTGAGTTGTTTTCAGTTAACATTTTTAAAAAACTGCATCTTTGTTTTTATTAGTTTCTAATTAATATTTAAGGTCTTCCATGAGAAATGTGGGTAACAAAACAGATGGAATTAACACAGCAAGGATACAAGCATTATAATATCACTTTACAGTGGTTTACAATTACTGTATGTCAACATAATCTTGCAGTGCTTACAAATTATAGTAGTTAAAAACCCTTCCACTAGGTGGCATTATTTACTGCACTGAATTTTTTTAAAGCACACATATCATAAATCTATTTTTTAATTTTTAATATTCCAATTCAATTGATTTCCTTCATATAGTTTTTTCAACTTGAAAACATTTTCTTAGCTAGGCACTGGTGATGCACACCTATACTAGCTACTCAGAGGAGGCTGAAATCTGAGGGTCATAGTTCCAAACCAGCAGGCTTTGAAACTGTCCTTGAGACTTTTTAATTCACCAATCCATGATCTGTCCACAAGAGCCTTATCTCCAATTTACGCAAAAAAGATCCAAAAGTGGGCTGGGATGTAGCTCAGTGGCAAAGCGCTTGCCTAGCAAGTGCAACGTCTTGGGTTCCATCCCCAGTACCAAAAAAGAAAAGCCAAAAAAAAAAAAAAAAGATCCAGAAGTGGAGCTATGGCTCAAGCAATAGGGGCCATCTTTGAGTAAAAAGACTAAGGGACAGTAACCAGGCCCTGAGTTCAAGCCCTAGTACCAGCACAAAATAAAACATAACCTTGGGAAGAAGCCATTAGGGTTCTCCAGACACCAATGAAATGAGGTCCACCGTACCCAAAGATTAGGATCCTTGCTGTGCACAGCACTCTGTCCTGGAATGCTGTTGACCAGTATTTCTCAGGCCACAAATTACAGCACATTTTAGGCCAAATTCTTCATTATGCTGTAAGTAATACTGGATTCATTGCTAAACTTTTGAAATTGGAAGAATTCACAGAAAAATCTAAAGTCTCATACTTATCCTGAAAAACCAGGCACTCTTGGGATCTCTTCTCTCCAATAGTAAGACCAACTGAGGCCCACGCCCTCAGCATGGTACCTGGACTGCTATCCTATGCACATTTCTGTCCAGGCTCCTGAGGGCCATGTTTGTGACAAGAGTCTATAATTATGTGAAATTCCAATATATCCCCAAAGGATAACATTTACTTTGGCCTATTAAATCAAATCTCTTTCTATGTATGTATCACTATAAACGGAGAAGGTAACTTTTTAAAGGACTCAATCCATTCTAAAATTTTTCTGGGTTGTTTTTTTTGGGATGTTAGACAACCACTCTACCACTTGAGCCACATCCCTATCTCCAGTACTGAATAATTTTTGAATGAGAATAGTTCAGACCCAGTAGTCTGCCTCTATCCCAAAGACAGCCCTTTCATTTTATGAATTTATTTGTGCTGCTCCCTACATAGCTTTGGCAGGGACACCAGGCACAGCAGATATACAAAGACTAACAGGACAAGCCTGATAGTCCACACTCGTTGTGGCAAGCTTACAAAGCCCAGTTCCAGGCTATTCCCAATGATCCATCATTACTAAGTTGTCTCCGCAATATCAGTATAAGGAAAGAGGTACAGGTCCTATATGTTTATTTCAGACCAGAATACAATGTAGGAACAGTATAGATGGAAGATACATTATGATTCCAAGTTGGGGAGGGAAAGCACCAAATAGGTTATGCCAAGAGAGATAAATACTCAAAAATTGATTGGTAACAGGTTATAAGGAGCTTAAAGGGCCTCCTGACAGCCAAGTTTGAGGCAATTTTAATATAAAAATGCAAGGAAACATAGATTATGATGCAATTACAAAAGAATCCATGCTGATAAGAAAGTGAGAAGGTATAGTGCTTTCCATTTGTTACTATAATAAATTATCCTTGAAGGGTTAAAATCTTGAGGCAGTGACCACTTGTTGCTTGTTTAAGATCAGCAAATTCTGTCTAGCAGAGCAACACGTGGTAGTAATCCAAACACCTGGTTGGTTCTGTGCCTTTATAGCCCTGCAAATCTTTAGCTCGGGGCTCTCCTCCTAGGCTCTGCTGTGTCAGAGTGTAGGACGAGGCCCGAGCTGCAGCCCGTTTAAATAAAACCTTAAAACAGCTGTAGAGTCTGACTCTCGGTGGTCTTCTTGGTGGGGGTCCTGCGACCTGGGCACAGCAATCCTGTCTGGCAACTTAAACACAAATGTACATTATTACAACTGTGGAGGTCACGAGTCCAACACAGGTTTTGCTAGGCTAAGGTCAAGGCCCTGGCAGGCTGTACTCCCTTCTGTATGCTTGGGTCAGATTTGGTTCCTCTTCTTTTCCAGCTTCTACTGACTACACCAATTCTATAGTTTATGGTTCTCTCCCACTGTCTTCAAAGGCATTAAGGGCATGTCTAGTCTTTTATATTACAGCACTCTGGCCTCCTCTACCTCCTTCTTCCATTTTAAAGAGCCCTGTAATTCTATGATATTGGGCAATCTATTTTAAAGTAATTGATTTAGCAACTTGAATTCCCCTTTGCCATGTAAGGTAAAATATCCCAGAGACTAGGACATCCACACACTGGATTACCTCAGCCCACCTTCTGGCCCACAGAAGTTCACATCCTTCTCATTTCAACCTACTCCAGCACCCCTATCAACTCAACCCAAATCTAAAATCTCATCTAAATTTATCAAATCCAAAGAGCCAAATCTCTTAGATCAAGCAAAGGTGAAGACTCTGGATGTGACTCACCCTGGGGCAAAACGGCTCTCTATGTACCTGCAAAATGCAAACAAGTTATTTGCTCCCAAAATACAATATACAGAACTCCAGCCACAAGTATCTGGTCCAAAATAGGAGAAAACTAAAGGAAGAAAGGGAGCTGTAGATCTTAATAATTTGAAAATATAGCTAGGCTAACTCTATCAGGTTTTAAGGCCTTAGAATAATGTTATGTGATCCACAGGTATGGCCCCTAGGACCCAAACTCCAGCTTTGGAGTGGTTTTGTCATCTTATTTCTTGCCCGCAGAATTTGGAGGTCCAACAGCTTTCTTCCACATTATCCTTGGGCTGTGTCTTTCAGTCTAAACTGGCAGTGTGTTTGCTGGTCTAACATTCTGAAGAATCTTGCAGGTCCTTTGTATACTGGTTCACTCCTTTATGTAAGAGTCCCTTTGACCTGTAACATCCTAAGAAGAAAGCACCTTCCACAGAATTTCCCTATTGATTTCATTTCTAGGCTCTCCTTCTTTGCTTATGGTCCTCTTTCTCCTTCCTCAACATAAAAGTAGCAACCTAATCCCTCTCACAACACATCACTGATTCCTCCTCTTCCTTTCTTTTTAGAAAGGGAGACTACTGCTTACCACAGAGGGAAGGTATTTTGCAGAAAATCTAGCCAGTAAATGTAGAAGGAAAGAGAAAAATAGAAAATCACCACAGACAAGTATGAGTAGATACCAACAGATAAAAGACTATCAGAGAACAGGATGCTCAAACATACCAAATTCCAGAAAATTCATGTAACACAGGAATAAATGCACTTTCACAAAGAAGCAATATGCTGAACATTATCTTTAAATAATGCAGCTAGTAATACAAAATAATGACACAATGTAGTCCCAAAATTGACATACAGGGAAGAACACAGCTTCATTAAGAAATATTCCCACTCAAATTCAAAATTCAAATCCAAATGTGGGAACTGATAAAGATATCGATTAAACTAGTCTGGACTCTGAAATAAATTTGAAGTCTGAGAGATAAAGCAGACTAATGAACTACAACAATTAAATGTAATCTTTGATCACATCTTAGAAAAACAAACCAAAATAGCTACAGAGGACAAAAAGGGAACAGGAGAAAAACTGTGCAGGCCCTGTGGATGAGACAACAGCGTTTAACCACCAACAGCTTACTGCAGGGCTAGAGAAGACGCCCTTGTTCTCAAGAGATGTGTGCTGAATAATGAATTGGGCTAGGGAGGATTTCAGCCAATTCAGAAACACAGAGAGAACCTAGAGAGAATATACATGGGTTCAATGTATTATACTTCCAACTTGCCTGAAGGTGTTCTGTTTGCTTGTTTTGTACATGTCCAGGCTTGAACTCAGGGCCTGGGCACAGTCCCTGAGCTTTTTTTTGCTCAAGGCTAGCACTCTACCACTTGAGTCACTTTACAGTTCACGTTTTGGGGGGCACTTAACTGGCGGTAAGAGCCTCATGGACTTTGTTGCCCACACTGGCTTTGAACTCTGATCCTCAGATCTCAACCTCCTGAGTAGCTAAGATTATAAGTGTGAGCCCCCAACACCCAACTTTGCCTGAATTTCTTGTTTATTTAAATAAAAATGTTTAGAAAAATGAAAGAAAACTAGGATCTTCCATTATGCTATGATCACTCATATCTCTACTTCTGCCAACTACAAAGTCCCTGTTGAAAGCAGGTTCTGAGTGCTTGCCTCTCCATGTCAACCCTCAGGAAGGTGGTTGGTAAGGTGTACGGGAAAAACATACTGATTACTTGACGACTGGGAGAAAAGAGGAGTAAGAAAAGGAGTAGAGCCAGGTTCAGGCTTGCTTGCACTACTTTCTGCCTGTCATCTTTTTCTGTTTTTTCTTTCTTTTTATTTTTTAGCTGTATGGGGGATTGAACTCAGAGCCCGTATCACTTGAGCCAAGCCTCAGTCCTCTTTGCTTTTAGTTGTTTTTGACTCCTATCTGGGTCAGTTTGGCCTCAGACCCTAATTCTCCTACCTTTGTCTCACAAGTACCTGAGATTACTTAAGATGTACCACCACACCTGGCTCTATATGTACTTTTCAAT